CCCACCTCAGGTCAACCTCGAAAAGTGTGGATTATGGCTGTTGTGTTAATAAGAAAGGGCGAATCGTTGTGCAAGCATGTATTTCTTAATCTAGTAGAAATAGTTTATCACTGCAAGCATGCCAAACACGGTAGTACTATAGAAAAGGTTCCATGATACTCCTTGTAGTGTATTAGGTATTCATTATGTATAATTTATGTAAATCAGTTAGTATATAAAGTGTAGGCACATGTGAATAAAGGATTACAACATCACTACATTGGCGACGAGGATGGCTGAAAGCGTGTTGCCTCCTCCTACGAAGTTCAATATCGAAGCCGCAGATGCATACATAGAATGGAAAGCTTGGATAGAGTCTTTTAACATCTATGCTGTAGCGGTCGAGCTCGAAAAAAAGTCGGATGGTGTCCAAACAGCGACAATGCTGCATTGCCTAGGGCCGGCGGTGCAAAGAATATTTAGAACATTGCCCGGCAAGAAAGAAAGTTTTAAAGAGGCAGTTGAAGCTCTTGAAGGCTATTTCGCGCCGAGAAGAAACGTCGTTGCTGAAAGACACAAGTTTCGCAGTCGAAAACAAAATGCTGATGAGACAATCGATGCGTATCTAACGTCGTTAAGGGAATTGGTAAAAACGTGTGAATTCGGGGCGCTCGAAGACGAAATGCTAAGGGATCAAATCGTAGAAAAATGCTATTCAAAACAACTAAGAGAAAGACTCTTAGCTCAGGAAGAACTAGACCTGGCTAAGACCCTCAGAATAGCAAGAAGTAGCGAAAGCGCCATAAAAGAAGCACGACTCCTTTCTGGTCATGAAACAAAAGACAACATCATTAACATTGACCGCCTGAATAACCCTGACAAGCGAAATAGGAATTACAATAGTGAAAATTTCAAGTGCTATAGGTGTGGCGGCGTGGGCCACAAGCCAGCAGATTGTCGAGCCATAAGTATGAAATGTAATAACTGTCAAAAGTTAGGACATTTTGCTCGCGTATGTCGCTCGAAGGGTGTATCTCGAAAGCCGTATGAATCTCAAAAGACTTCGAGTAAAAAGACGAAAGCGCATAGAAACGTCCGTGCAATTCGACGCAAAGATTCAGATAGTAATGAATCGTGTATTGAAAGCGAATCCGAAGACGAACAGATTCTGTTCATGGAAGGGCAAGACAGTCCTGTCCAGATTACAATCAATGGTCGCAAGATAAAGATGGTCGCCGACACCGGTTGTAGGCAGAACATTATTTCTTCCCAGTTGTATACAGAGCAATTCAAAGAACACCCACTCAAAAGCACAACCAAACAGTTTGTGGCATATGGTCAGAAGGTACCGCTAACCTGCCTTGGTCGATTTAAAGCCAGTTTGAAAGCGGGTATGATGACTATTCATAGCTTTGTGTACGTAATTAAAGGCCAAGCCGAGTCGCTGCTCGGGAGAAAAAGCTGTTTTGACTTGGGAATATTCAAACAAGTCAAATTTGTGAAGCAGACTAACTCTAACTCTAAGAAGATTAATGACCCAAGATTGAACTCATTAGTTAATGAATATAATGACTTGTTTCACGGGTTAGGTCAAATTACAAATTATTCGCATAAAATTAAATTAGATCCAAATGTTAAACCAGTAAGCCAACGTCTGCGAAGAATTCCCCTTAGTCAAATAGAGCAGGTTAATGATGAAATTGATAAAATGTTGAAGGATGACGTCATTGAAGAGGTACCCGAACCAAGCCCTTGGGTTTCTAATCTTGTAGTGGTGCCTAAGGCATCAGGAGGTTTAAGGGTTTGCTGCGACTTTAGAGAGTTAAATAAAGCCATTGTAAGGGAACGATATGTCCTTCCCAAAGTAGAAGACACTTTGGATGCCCTAAATGGCTCAAAATATTTTGCAAAAATTGATGCAAGAAGCGGATTTTTCCAATTAACGCTGTCAGAGGAATGTAGATATTTGACAACGTTTATAACAAACAAAGGCTGTTTTCGTTTCAAGCGTGTTCCGTTTGGGTTAAGCGATATCAGCGAAACCTTCCAAAAAGTCATGGAAGAAATTTTGTTCGGCCTAAAAGGGGTAGAAATCTCGGTAGATGACGTCATCGTTCATGCAGTAACGATAGATCAATTAATAAGTAGGCTGCACGAGGTATTTGAAAGGTGTAGGGAACGTAACTTAAAGTTAAACCCTAAAAAGTGCGAGTTTGGGCTTACCATGCAAATACCGGTGTTGGGTCATGTCGTGTCAGCCAAAGGTATTCAACCAGACCCGATTAAAACAAAAGCAATTCAAGAGGCCCCTCCCCCTGCCAACGTTGCAGAATTGAGATCATTTTTAGGCGTTTGTGGGTATGTATCGAAGTTTATACCGAATTACGCCGAGCTGGTTGAACCCCTTAGGCGGCTGACAAGGCAAGGCACTAACTGGACATGGGATAGTGAGCAAGTAGAGTCGTTTGAGGAGTTGAAACGTGCACTTTCTAACGAACCAGTGTTGGCTTGTTTTAAGTTAGATGGTCCCACTGTTCTTGTGACAGATGCTAGTCCAGTAGGACTAGGTGGGGTTCTGTTACAGGAGCAAACAACAGGTGAGCTAAAGCCTGTCGCATATATAAGTCGATCTCTGACACCTACTGAAGCGCGATATTCGCAGATTGAACGCGAGGCACTGGCATGTGTTTGGGCGGCTGAAAGATTTCATAATTATGTTTTTGGTACTGAATTTACGTTGCTCATTGACAACAAACCATTAGTCAGTTTGCTTTCTTTAGATTGTAAAAAGATGTTGCCCCCACGGATTCAACGTTTGGCGTGGAGGTTGCATCAATATAAGTATAAGATAAAACATATTGAAGGTAAAATGAATATTGCCGACTCTTTCTCAAGGTTGCCTTTAAATGAATTAGATGAAACTAGTTCGGGTAACGTTGCGGAGGAGTATGTTAAATTTGTGGTTGAAAATGATGTGCCTGACAATTGTGCGTTGTCGTTATCAGAGGTGAAAGAGGAAACGACAAAAGATAAAATTTTGACTAAAATTATGAATTTGGTTCACGTAGGTGCATGGCCAGCTGATGCTGATATTAAACCTTTCGAAAAGTTTCGGGAAGAGTTTTCGGTTTTCGAAGGTATTTTATTGCGCGTAAATCGTATTGTCGTTCCAACTTCTCTTAAGAAGCGGATTTTGAAACTTGCTTATGAAAGTCATGTTGGTATAGTGCGAACTAAGCAGTTGTTAAGGTCAAAATTTTTTTGGATATGTATGGATAGGGATATCGTAGGTCCGATAAATAATAAGTACTTAGTAACCTATATCGACTATTACTCTTCCTTTCCTGAAGTGGCCATTACCCGAGACATAACCTCAAAAAGTATTGTTAAAATTTTGAAGAATATATTTGCTAGGCATGGTTATCCTGAGGAAATTGTCTCAGATAACGGACCACAATTTATCAGTCAGGAATTTAGGCGTTTCTTGAGCTCTAAAGGAATTAAGCATGTACGTAGTTCGCCTTATTTCCCAAGAAGTAACGGGAAAATCGAACTGTTTCACAGGTATTTGAAAAAGAATTTCCAAGCTGTTACTCTTGAGGGTAGATCCTGGGAGGAGGAGCTCCCTAAAATTTTGATGTCGTACAGGAGTATTCCTCATCCCATGACAGGAAAAACTCCGGCAAGTTTGCTTTTTCATAGGGAGATACGTACAAAGCTTCCGTCAATTAAGTTGAATGTTGATGTGAGCTCAAGCAATGTAGAGGGAGATGCACGATCGTATCAAAAGCGAATGAAGTCTTATCACGATCGTAAACAACGTGCAAAAGCGCACTCGTTTGTGGTTGGTGATATGGTGTATCTTGCTAGGAGTAAGTGTGATAGTAATAGTAAGCTGAAGTCTAAATTTGACAATATTAAGTATGTGATTATAGACTTTGTAGGAAGAGATACTTGCAAGGTAGTTAATACATTAGACGGGAAAACATATATTAGAAATGTAAAGTTTCTGACTCGTGCTCCGATTGCGGAACGGGCATTAATATTCGATGACATGTTAGATAATAAAGAGGTTAAACCTAAATCTAACACTGGGGTAGAAACAGATAATTCTGAAAAAGATACTTTAATAAGAACGAGATCAGGACGTGTATCAAAGTCCACAAGATCTAAGGACTTTGTCTATTATTGAACTTTATCTAGTTATATCTATTAATACTATAATGTTTTAAAAGAAGAAGAAAAAAAAAAAAAATGTATTATAGAATATATAGGAAGTAGAATAATATTTGGAAATTGTTCCCTGGGGAAGATGTAGTGTATTAGGTATTCATTATGTATAATTTATGTAAATCAGTTAGTATATAAAGTGTAGGCACATGTGAATAAAGGATTACAACATTACTACACTCCTCAAACGGTTTACCATTTTTGTACACCTAACTGGAGGCATGCACGCGGGCACAGCCGGTGTGATAAATATGCAATGGGCTACAAATGTAGAGTGTATTCTGATTCGCTATCACATTTCCCAAATGATAGCGAGACAAGCCGCAGTTACTCAATCATAAGAAGCCTATAAATTCCTCCCAACCATTTACAAACACCCAAATGAAAAGAAAACCACTTTGAGAGCCATGCATGGAGCAAGTCTATACTGTCGTATACTGTCGCCAGAACATGCACTTCAGACAGTCTTTGTAACTAAAGTACATGCAATAAGACACTGTATATGCACAACAGTAATCCAAGTACAAAGATATTTTCATGGGAAGTAACCAATACCTCGTCTTTCAGATACTATTCCTAAGTTACTTTGAATGGACGCTTCAAAGGAAGTACTTAATTGAAAGAAATCGGAACATTACTTGGTCGTCAAGGACTTAAATTAATTGTATATTAAATTCATATTTCTTGAGCCCCTTTTTCATTAATCGCAAGAGTCAACTCGGAAGCTTCCTGCGAGATTATTTAAAAAATGGATATATACAAGCACTCGCAGCCAGCAAAATTGCGAGTTGTTTTCCACCATGAGTAGAAAAGAGCCTTTGCGGTTCTGGACTACAGGTTGTTATAGCGGACAGATATAAGAACGCTAATTATGGTCAAAAGAGTAGCTTATTCGGAAATGCCATAAACTTAATTCAAAATTATTTTAACACAATTTTCCCACTTGATGCATGTAATTTGATTTATGGGTAAGTAAAATTATTAGGCAACAAAAGAAGCTTTTAAGCTTTTAAATTAATAAACTCAATTAACAGTTACTCACAGTTGCATGAATACAATGGGCACTTCCGCTACGATTTTGTCAAACCAGCAATATGATCAAGAAATACAATCTTGGCCAAGAACCGTAGAACCATGGACACTTTTCTATTTTTAAACATATTTCGCCTTCTCCAACCCCTTTCAATGAATGCTGTTTTATAATTTGTAATTATACTGTGACCGAAATAAAATTGAACGCCGAGGAGGCATAGCGGAACATTTACACTTTTAAAATGTAACACAACTAAATTTAGAGGGAAACTATAGTGTTTAGACTGTACTTCAGTCATTCTACAAGCTTTTGGTCGATTGCATATGTGAGCTTTAAAGGCTTTACCATGTTAATCGGGTTACCGAATTCGAATCAAACGTCTTCCTCCATCAAATCCATTCGAACTGTACATGCAGGGGCCTTGCGTCTCTTCCTCAAAAGCCTTAATTCCAAATATCTTTGGGCTGTACCTAAGTCCATTAACTGCAGATGCATATAACTCTAATCCTAACTCACATTATGTTTTTGGTTACCCAAGGAACTGGAAGAAATATCGGGGGTAAAAATAGTACAGAATACATTGCAGTCAAAATGAATTAAGAGATTCCTGAGATATTCATTAAAAAGGACACTTATTCCCGTATAACAGCCGCAATATCCATAAACTTAAAATGAATTTGACAAGTTGTATGACTTGGGAGTTGCAAAGCGCGCAAGAGATTTAGCATTTTACAAAATATTTTTTTATGATATGTTCAATTTTCCTTATTCAGATGTTAACGTCCTGTTTTTAATTGGAGGAAAAACACGTAGATATAAAATTAGATAGCGCGGAAACAAAAGTTGCCCTAATCAATTGTAAGCTTGCATTGGATGTCAGTGCATACCGCCACGGGGTGCATAGAATGAATATTAATATCTATTGTCTGAAAAATAACCAGAAAAAATATAATGTAAAAAATATAATGAAAACATATAATGAAAAAATATAATGTATTGTAAGCAGAAAAAAATATGTTTCGAGAGGAACTAACCTGCCCTTACACAACCAACTCGTCGCGAACATATATTCATTCCCTATAGTGATAGTCAATAAACAAGTTGTGCATAGCACCAGGGAAGAAGGAACTGGGCGGCACTGGGGAACGTCCCCCCTTTTTTCAAAGCACTTAAAGCGCCCTTTTTTGTGATGAAAAGTTCCTTTTTTGTACCAGCTAGTATCGCTGTAAATACTATATATTAACATCGCAGGTGCCCTTTTTGTTTCCTGAAAACATTTACGTGTGCCTTTTTTACACAAGCTATAGTTATGTTCTAAATTGTAATCTGCCTCATTTAAGTATATCCAATGAAAGGCATTTATAATAAATTTCGATATTAAAAAAATAGACAAGAACGTTGATTGTATAATTGCATGTAGCTACTGTGCGTTGTGATTCGAAATTTAGCCAAATGTATTATATTAATTAAGCATGAAATATGATATGGTTGAAATATTTTTCTTCCTAACTCGCTGACCCCCCCCCCTCCCCCCCACATACACACACACTCTGTCAATATTTCCGAAGAAGTTTGTTAAGATGACATTTTTCTTATCGAAAAGTGGGCCTCGTCATAGACTCTTAATTAAGGCGCGACGGTAAAACATTTATAGCCAATATCAGTTTACACATTCGAACTATTAATATTGCATTGGCACATGGAATTTGATACTGAAACATATCCACACCTACAGCACAGGAACAAGGCTATAAAGGACTAGTACTAAAAGTATATTCATGAATTATTATAAATTCACGTTGCATAAATAAAACAGCCTGGAAATCAAGTCGTTATATGCCGGAACACCTTAATTAAGAAGCACAAAAGTTTCATTCATGCACCAGCATCGACTTATTTGTCTCAGATTGTATTAAGCTCTTAAAAGTTTTAATGGTTTTATAATCACAATGTACAGCACAACGTGGACAAAAATGCAAACTCACGTGGTCAAAATGTTTCTGGTACAGATTGCGGGATGCTGCAAATTAAATTTAATGTATTTCGTAATTTTATTTTCAGTAGTGAAGTTTTTGAAAATCGGACCAATTCTACAAAACAAAACAGGCAATTTATATTTAATTTTAAACATCAGAAAATAATGCGGAAAGGGAAGCACTTCATCTATTAAAATAATCGAAAAGTAAGAATTACTTCGCGTTGGCCTCCTAATTTTGGCAGTTGAAGAGGCGTTGCACCCCCAAGTTTCAGTAGTATTTAATATACTTAGCTATAGCGTGAGTCATAATCTGTCAAGATATGATGGCCTGGAAGCCCGATAGACTTCAAAGTTACATAATAGAAGGCATTTGTTTGATGTTGATATGTGCCTCGCCGTGCGCAAATCATTGGTTTAGATCAATTTCATCCATGCAAGATCTTGAGCAGAGCGTGGAATGAGGTCGGGTACAAATCTACTCTCCTACTTGCATGGTATTGAATGCTCGTGCGAAAAAAAAGTTAGCGAATTGAAATGTTTACTAGAAATACATGCATGCAGTAACCCGTCGCCAATATTTTCCAAACATTAAATTAACATGAAGTATTCAGAAATGGCCGACACTGAACGCAGGCTCGCGCTCAAGTGTTGCCTGCATGACAACACGATATCTTAAGTTTTTAATTTTTTCATATTTTTGTACAAAACTGCAAAATATAGTTGAAAGATTCGTACTTTTAACTACACAACAATAAATTTCTGAAATATACACTGTAGGTATGTTATTTTGCATTTTGTGAGCTTTGATTTAATGTAAAATTTAACTAGAAAGGCTTCCTGAAATTTTGAAATGTTCATTCAACTAAACTACATTTGCCGATAAACTGTTTTACGCACAAAACAAATTGTTAGGTAATTTTAGTTCAGTCTTCAAATCAATTTGTTCAAATTAAACGGTAATTTATGACTTAGAGCTTCGTTGAAAAGGAAAACAGTTCATGTTTTTAGGCAAAAAGTTAGAGCAACAAAATTCAAAGCAAACTTGCCGTATATTTCACGATTTCCCATAGTAAATCAATTCTTCTCATTTCTTCAAACAAAATTGCTTCAAGCTTGTTATATATGAAACGATTTTCCAAATATATGTCTTTTAAAATTGAAATCTTGCTTATTCCACTCCCACAAGCAATCAGCCATATTTTTGAGATCAGTGAGGATGACCACCCACTCAAGTTCGTTGGTCACGCCCGCGATATTTGATGAACTTTAGACTTCGCTAATGCTTTCGTTTGCCCAGGTGTAAATAGCCGAGGAGAATTAGTACCCTCGCACGGCGCTTCGCGCCGTCGGCTCGGGGATAAAAAATATAATGGACGGAGTCGCGAATGAGCTGGATTTACAAAACATGGAAGTGATAAGAAGAGATTTGTAATAAGAAATTGTGAATCAAACGGCGAGTTTCTCTTGATCGTGATTTTTTATCTATTAACTTTGTTGCATATGAATTGTGTGCCTTTTATACTTGAAAATACTGCCTTTCTATTTCAGTATACGTCAATGTTCATAGACCATCATGCTTTGGATGAAAAAAGCCTGAAATGAAAAGAAGAACAAAATAATAATTTTCAAGAAAGTAGCGAATTTTTAGCGAAATTGATTTGCATTCAGAGTGGCAATTGTATAGTGGTTAGTACGCATGCAAATCAGTCCGTTATGGTGTAAAAACAATAATCTCAATACAAGAAACTTAGCAAGTTTTTAACGGAATTTTTGCCGTAGCGTTATGGCGTAAACGCGACCTTAGCCCCACAATGTAACTGTAAAACATTTAACCAATATCATTTCAGGTAGTTCTCCTTGACCAATAAAATCGACCCATAGAAAGTGGTGGGAGGTTTTTGAGAATTAAAGTACTTAAGTGCTTTTTAAGTTGACAGAATATAAAATTTTTGCTGGGAATGTATATGTACTCACATACTCATTACTTATTATTGTAATATAAGAATATAAGAATATGCGAATATATAGCATCATATATAATGTACCTTATTTTATATTTTAAATTTTAAACGATATACATGCATCGTACTTAAGTTTAAAAAGGCAAGTTCAATAATTTACATTGCATAAATTAGAGGCTAGAAATTTACATGCATGCAGGTACGTATAAAGAGTGATATAAGCTTACCGGTTTCTTACATAACCATCCACTTATCTGTCTTAGATTGAAACAATTCTCTAAATTTTAAACGATTTCATTACCACAGTGCAATGGCAGTGGAACGGGTGTAAATTTTCTGCATGGGTGTGGAAGAGCTAATTTTTCAGCTACCTGCAAACTCAGCACACAAAAATTATCCAATTGTCATAGCGTGCAGTATCGTGGAAAACCGGGGATTCGTGATCATTCTCTCCCGGAAAATTTTGAAAAATTGTCGGCCGGAAATGCCATTTCTTGCACTTTCTGGCAACGTATTGAAGAACTTAGACAACAAAATGCTGCAAAAAATTGCTTCTTAATTCGGTTTTCGTCAGTTAGTTGCGGCAAAAATACATAAATTAGTATATTTTTATGGCGGCTTATCCTCCTGTAAAACCTGAGACAGCTGTCTCAAGAAATATGAGAATACAGGAAATGAACACTCATGTTTCGGGCTGAAAGCGGAATATATGTTTTTTTTATATTTTATATATTCCTACCTGCAATATACAATATGCCGATCAGTTCAATATAATATCAAGTTCAGTATTCATACACTTTCCAAAACTATTCATACTATTATCAGAAACATATTCATGTTGCACCATGCAGAAATACTCAACGCTTTGAAATATTTAACAATTATTCGCCGAAGGCGAGGTGATTATTGGGGAATATTCGAGACGAAGTCAAGGTGGATATCTCCCGATAACCACCGAGCTTGAGCCTCGTGAGGCGACTAATTGTTTTAGTATTTTTACACAGGTGCTTTTGGGACTGAATTTATTTTAATTTCGCTTACTTCTTTATCAATAACTTCCACAAAACCGCTAGCCGCCATTTTCAAAATTTCGAATTTGTTATATTCACCTGTAGGTGAATAGAACAGCTTAATACGTCAAATTTGACCAATCAACATGTACGATTTGTTATGATCACTTGTGCAAAAATACTAATCAATATTATTCAATGCATTCTGTTAATTTCCTCTCATGATTATATATGCACATGGAAATGGTTGTTTGCTATAAATTTGGAATTCTATACATTCCTATTGAATTTCATGCTTTTTCTAACCTTATTTTCAGTGAAAATTGTTAATTAACGACTGTTGTGACTGTTTGCAAATATATGTATAACATTTTTCCATTCTGATAAGTTGGAAATCGTTCAAGACTTTTTAAAGATCAAAACGTCGTCGTTTACATTATGTGAATCACTTCATCATATTTTTCTAATCTTTATCCTTTTTGCAATTAGCTGTAGATTGTCAGTCGATCCAATAGATTGTTGGAAAGAAATTGCAATATTTAGTATACACTCATAAGAAGTATCTACAGGAAAATTGTGTTTATATATATATTGATTGGATTGATAGCAGCTTCTTAGAATATTTAATTAAAGTAACACTATCGAACGCAGGCCTGTGCCAGTGTTGCCAGGTAGCGACGATGACAAGACAGCTGCGGTAAAAGAGAATGAGATACAACGACCTGAAAAATACAAGCAGATCGGCGATGTTTGGAGCGAAGGTCATTCGTCGGGAAGGGCCATCGGGAGGGGAATCATTTGAAGTGGACATAATATAAAATAGCCTTGAAACATTTTTAATTGTTTCAGCAGCTACGTGGTGCTATAACAATTAGCTAAGTCCTATATTTGCTGCCAAAGATTTAAGAGAACTATGCGTCTTGTACTAAACTAACTAGTTAGTGAAAATAATTATTGTTTTCAGTAAGATCATTTCCTGACGTATTTATTTTTCAGTCTTGCCACTAATAGCTATATATCACTCAATTATGCACCGAGAACTGAAAGGTCTATACATGTGCATGCCTCCCGTCATGTATTCATGTGCTAATTATTTGGTTGATTCAATTAATTGCAACATATATACATCTGCACTAACATTACAAAACTGTTTTTTATTTTCACAAAGAATCTTTGTACGATTGGAACCATTTTGACTCAAGCAGGTTCGAAAGAATATCCCGCTGAAGATCACAAAGTGATGTAAGAGAAAAAGGGTTCGTGTGCTAATGGATTGTGTATTTATAAACAAAATTAAAGCTTTTATCAATCATATTGGATGGACGTTTGTTAAATGCGAACACAGCAGGACTCTCATGTTAAGCTTGTATGTAGCTAATTGAATAGGCGTTTTCAGACATTAACACATTAGCCAAAGGACTGACAACATCGCTTATTGCCGCCTATTGTTTCATATTGTTCAAAGATTGAAGCCTTATGATGAACATATCATTCTCGCAATCGATGATTGTTTGTATCGGAATTCCTCGCAATGCGCATGCAAAAGATGTTTTCGCCACTCTGGTCAGTTAACTAAGTCAGAATAAACACAATTTCCGATTATATTCAACACTCAAGCCAGTCTATTGCCTCCATCCGGAATGGTCTACTTGGCAAGTTCAGACGTTAATGAACTGGAGATTATTGAGTAAACAATATTCTATGTACATACTAGGTAGATCCTTCGCATTCACTTCTCGAATTTGATCAATTGTAGCAGTTTGCACGGCCTTCTGTTTAGAAGTACATATGTACATGAAACTGAGACGTGCAAATTTTAGTACTAACATCACAAGTGTTTACACTATATTTACATCTGAATTATTTATTTTTTAAAGTGTTTAAATTAAACATTAAAGTGAAACGACATGCAAGTAACACAAACGCAGCTACAGAATCAACACTGCTTGGAGGGGGGAGGGGGGGGGGTCTTGCCAACCGAATTGATCTATTTCTCAACAATTTCGACAACATAGCATTGACCACGCCCCAACTACTTCAAAACCACGTCCATTTTGTTAGCATATACTCGCTACCCTCTACAAATACAAAATATCAATACTTACTGCATTTGAAATACGATTTGAGGGTGAAAGCGAAATACTGAATAATATCATTGAACACTGCATGCAATTGAGTGCGTTCTAAACTTGTGTGAATATATATTGAATATTTGTGACATGAATATGAATATTTCCGGATGGAATACGAATATTTCGCGTAGAAATACTTGTAGTACGGGTATGAGTATGAGAATTTGGAATGGAATAAAAACCGGAATATTTTCTCCTTCTTTTCACAGGTAAGTATATTGAATATATGCCATCAAAAAATTAATTCGTTTTCCAGCCCGCACAAGATAGTGAATTTCATATTAACTATAGTTTGGATCTCATAGCAACTTATTAGCGTCAGAACTAGAGCAACTACTAAAACGATTTCATATGCATTATGTAGAAAGATACACACTAATGAAAGAGCGAGTGTTATAATCAAAGACGAACCTCAACGCATAACGTTATAAAACATTAAGTGATATTTTGCATCGAAACACGTATTATTTGTATGTATGTACAGTTTAATAAACGAGCAGGAGTGTTTTATTAGGTTTAAAACCACGAGCGCTGCGCTCTCGATGCTTTATACCTAGTAAAACACGTCCTGCGAGTTTATTAAACTACTTCAATCATGACTACAAATTCAATAGATATACTAACTGCCTTATTAGTATTCCTTATATTATAAAAAATACTAATGAGGATACAACTACAATAGATACTGCCTAATTAGAATTCTTTATATAAAGAATACTATAATTGGGAGTGTTTATCAGGTTTAAAACCACTGCACGTGACATATTATGGTTGACATGATTTGCCAATAAGCTTATGAATTATTAATGAGTGTTTGTTATAATTACAAAGCTATAGTTTCCATCGATCTTGATATTATCACGAAAAATGATCTTGAGTTGTTTTTTTTTTGGATACTGTATTTTGGTCCAATTGAATTAATTTTATTAATTCTTAAAATGATAAAAAATTGTTTCAAATTCCTCGCCCACTCTACTAATTCACATTCACATGCAGTACATTATAAGAGGCCTATTATACGTCAGTGAGATTAATAAGATATTAGTAATAGCTTGGGCGGAGCATTCTAAGTATTCCACTTCAAAATTAAATTGCGCAAATTTTGCTGTTCCAGTACGATCTAGTTGGTGATTACAACAACTATTACTCGCCAATCAGTGTCACAATATCAGTGATATTTGTTTTACAGGGTGACAAATCCATCAAGTAATTACCGTCCTGGAAGTGCATTTTAATATCCACAATGTACAACCGCAATGTGGGCCACAATTTGGACTGCAAATAATTGATAGAGAAGATATCATCTCACCTTCACTAATTCTTGACATAATTGCAAGCATTATATATGATTGTAAATATAGGTCGACGGAAATCGAATAAATTCTACATGTTACAATTATTATAGTTGAAATTCCTCGTTGTAATTTATTTGAAGTTCTCGTTAATTACCTTTAAAGGTTGCGCAGTAGGTGGTCGTTCATCCTAGCAATATTAATAGTCAGACAATTAATCTTGTCTTCTTTATACCTTCATGTCAATATCAATCAACAAGTGCAGTTGGCTACATATATAAACTCTTCTTCATTTTACACAAATTCATCTACCAGGAACATCGGGGAATCACCGGGATTTGTATTAAGATACACTATATTGGCCTACAGTTATGAAGCTATTGATCTCGGCTGTTGTAGTCACCGTTCTGTATGTTCAAGTTGCTGAATGCGTCATTTTCAGTTGGCTTTGGAGTGTTGACCCACTTGAGCAAAGTTCCTTGTCAAATCACACTAAAGGGAACCCAGCAATCAAACAGGTAAATACAAAAATAATTTTATTGATATGACATATTTTGTCTGTATATTTTATTCAGACTAACGTATTGAATGAAAAACTGATATACTGTATAATTATTATGAACAACAGTTTATGCTAACTATGTCTATAATCTGTGCATGCAATTTCAATTTATAGTATATTATCATTTTTAATATAATGTAACATTTCGGTATCTTAGAATATATATATTAAAGCAAGTTGTCGTTTAATTAAACTAAATAATTGTAATTATAATTAGGATAGGATCAGGATAAAATCAATATAAATTGGTAAAATCGTGCATGTATATATATATTCATTCATATTACTTTCTATTTTAAATAATATTAATATAGTTATGTTGATACATACTATCAATTATCTTGTTTTAATTTCCCAAAACTGTATAAAATATTCTCTAGTATTTTTCATTAAACTCCCGTTTCCCTTCCAAAGTATCAATCAATCGCTGGTTGTGGCCAATACGTTCCGTTCCGTTCCGCGGACCTTTAGTTATTGATGGAAAAGTCAGATTTAAATCTGAATATTAGAAGCGCGGTTTTCTCGGTGTTATTATGTTTGTGGCCGCTCACGAGATACGTGTCGCTTTACAGAGTTGGCGTTTGGTATACCACAAAGGGTCACGTGACGGTAAAACCAAAATTGTAATAGTCAATAATTCTCTGAAATATGTCCCTGTTGATATTTTAACGAACGTCAAGTATTGAGAAATTGTGAAACAATAATTACAGCAGGAATGAACAGCAGTAATAAGAAATGTTTCGGCAATTGGTCTCTACGCAACGATATTTTTATTCGCGGAGAAGTGGGCAGGTGGATGGGGGAAGGTAACGTTGGCACAGAATCACGTAGTTTTTTGAACAGCCACGTCACAATTCATTCGTGTTACTTCAATATCGAAAATTGTGATTAAGTTGATTTTGAAAACATTAAATGACTTAATATACATTTTTGTAGGCATATTGTATGAAAGATCGTGATTGTGAAACAGCGAATTATTGCCATCGTCACTACGGCACCTGTCACAAGTGCAAAAAAATTGAAGCGAAATGCAGACGAGACCATGTTTGCTGTAAAGGATTCGAGTGCGTCTTTGGCAGTTGTAGAAAGATTGTTAAACGAGGCAACTACTTATCAAAATGTAAGAAAGATAAACATTGCAAGAAGGGACTATGTTGTGCCAAGAGCCATGGAGAGTTTGTGTGCAAGCCAATGTTGCGGGAAGATCAAATTTGTTCTGTCCTGGAAGGAGGAGTGGCCTACTCTGTAAATCACGGTTGTCCATGTGACGAGGGTTTGGCATGCAAGCGATGGAGGTCTCGAAAAAATAGGTAATTTTGATGAGCTTTTTTTTTCGTTGTAATAGCTCTTAATAAAACTCCTATATCATTTTACACTTCAAATTTGTCCAAGCACATAATGTACATTGTATATTCCGTGAGGCAACCTAAAAAGAAACTATATCTCTTATTGCTTATGTAAGGGCTTCTTGGAAGTCTCCATATCATCATAGCACAAGTACAGTAATGCATTAGATGAATCAGTCTAAAAAGTGCTGTAAGTACATTCCTTATATAAGAAGGTACATGTAAGGGCTTCTTGGAAGCTTGCATATCACAATAGCTTTTTCTAAAATTGTTCCTATTACATTTGATATTTTAAAGTTCTATGTAATGGCACTTAATAAGTGCATTCCATGCACTAAATCTGAAAGATAAGGACCGTGAGATACAGTCGATTGCCGATTTGCCGTATGTAAGACATTCTTGGAAGTTAAAATTAACATATGTAATTCATTACATTGCATTTCTCAGCCATTTCGATGGGCTAACAGACTACCTATATAGCTATAGCATGTGACTGTCGACAAGAACACATAAATATGAGACATTTTTCACTCATAATAAATTATAATTACTTAAAATACTCATAAATAATTTATAAACCTTGTTGCAAATCATGTCAGCTATAACATGTCACGCGGAGCGACTTTATATCTGATAAACACATGTAGCATTATATATTGTTCATCCTAATTAGCATGATTATATAATGGTTCATCCTAATTAGTGTTCTTTTGTAGTCGTATTTTAATTAAGCTATTCAAAGCACTCGTTCAGAGGCGTAGGCAGGATTTTCGGTCAGAGGGGGCCGGCAAAAACCCAGGTGGGGCCAAGCCGCCAGTGACTCGAGACGCAAAGTTCGCTCAAGAAAAGTTTTTGCGGACCACACAACATTTTAAATCTCCCCCCCCCCGTCGATTCCGTGTCACTCTTTGCGATTCTTCCGAAGCTTCACCGCGAAGATTCCGACAACAGTAGAGAGTTTGAGCAAGAAAGCGAAGTCGGACGACGACAATGTGGACCGTGGTTGACAATTTTTGCCTGTCTTGCACATTATCTTATGCATTCTGAGTTTAGAGTCAGGCGTGAAGACAGATTCGAGATTTATATCTAGCTGTTTATGAATGCAGGCCCAAATCCTTACCCTGATCAGTACAAAACAGCGAGACATGAATCCATATCTCGTCTTCGTTCTTCTGCCTTGAAGTTTGTTCCATTCTCGTACCCAGAGCACTTCTTATGCGCGGTGCAACGAGGGGCTCTGGCCAAATCCATATTCCGAACTTGCATCTGATTGGCTAGTTCTAACACCAGATATTGTTTTCTTACCATATGGTATCCGGTTATGGATTTGGTCAGAGCCCCTCATCGCACCGCGCGTAAGAAGGGCTCTGGGTACGAGAATGCCTTCGTTCACAACGAAAAATTCGCAAATATTTTGGCAAAATTCGCTGTGAACTTCGTTCCGAACGAAGGCAGAAGGACAAAGACGGGATATAGTTTCATGTCTCGCTGTTTTTTTCTGGGTCGGGGCAAGAATTAGGGTCAGTATGCACAAACAGCGACACATGGGAAGACACGATGAGCAATCACCAGTGACGTCCAACTCAGTATGCGCAAAATAATGTACATGTCTACGGCAAAAATTGACAAGCATACGCCTTCGTCTTCGTACTTCGTTGTCTTGCTCAAACTCTCCATTGACAATTTTCCGACAGGTCTCAATTTTCCGACGGGTCTCCCACCCCCCGTCCCCTCCGGCCACGGCGCCACTGCCGAGTCTGCATTAAAAATTCACTTGTAAAAGAAAACAGATTGGTTTAAACTTCATCTAACCCTCATTTAATACATATTGAAATAATTATAGGGTTAGAAAAGGTATGTGCTTCAAGCTGTGTGCCGCAAATAAGCGAACAAGTGATTTCAGGTTTCACACCGATGCCCAGCAAAGCATATATTCTACAGAATTTTTGCATTATTGACAGCATGAAGCTATATAATCAAGAATTCCTTTTTTTATGCAATACTTTTTATAAGGGGGCCCCCAAAGTTTTGCCAGGGGGGGGGGGCAAAATTTTGCCAGGGGGGCGGGGCTGGGCCCCCCGGCCCCAGCCCTGGCTACGCCTCTGCACTCGTTGTCGTGCTTTATCAGATATAGAACGCTCGGCTGCGTCTCGCGTTTTATATCTGATAAAATACTCCTACTCGTGTTTTAAATAGTACAAAGTTGCCACAAAATAAGCTTATGAGCAGGGGTGTAGGAAGCATCAAACGATTGGAGAGGACACCGGCTTCCAGGGGCACTTTTGGATATTGAAAAGGACACCTAAAAATTTTTCCCCGGAAATGTTGGCGGCGGGAGTGGGGGGATGGGGAAGAAAAATTTCTCCGTCAACCATACCCAAGTTACACGTTTTTGACCAATTACATGTTTTTGACCAGTTACTTGTTTTTTCCATAGATCGAAAGGGAAGGGTGCTAAGAGAGGTAAAACGAAGGTAAAACGTTGTCAGAGAATTTAAATGTGACATCACATGGTCATCTAAACAAAGACAAATGCCATTGGTTCGACCTACATCGACGCTTAATATCCAAATGTGCCAGCTCAAGTTGGAATTCATGTAGCATATACCACACACAACAATTTAAGCTTCATTATTAATTATTGATAAGCCTGTTAATTAATTAAACATATAAACGTACCAATAAATCATTGAATACTGTATAGCTCATATATCAACTTATATATCACTTAAAACACCTGCCATTGCAAGCAAGCGAGTGCCTTAAAATGCATGGGCTCCTGTCTTATTTTCCTGGTTGCTTCGTTATCGGAGTCACAAAGTGGGATTTCAGGAGACATGGGCCACATGCAGTGCATCGCGGAATAATTGGAAGCTTTCGACACTCGTTTTATTCTTTGTGGATAGATTTTAAAGTGAATATGAATTGAAATTCCTTATTTTCTTACATGAAGCTGTAGCGTCACTTATTTGTCAGTTTCCTGTTTTAATGGTTTGTTCTCGAGATATTTCAATTTGTTTGATACGTAAATGAGTGGGAATATGTCCGCTAATTTATGACGTCATGTTGGTTGCAAGTTCTTCGAAATGGTTGAATATCACTGCTATCATCCAAGATGATTATTTTAAACTTCACTCACTGGTAAATGTGATGAAACACTGGAGAAAAACGAGAACTGATGTCAACAGATTTTAGAGTTAATACATTTATAACCAGTGTAAGTTGAGCTTGCAACCAAGATGACGTCATAAATTAGCGGACATGTTCACACTCATTTACATATCAAACAAATTGAAATCTCTCGGGAACAAACAATAAAAACAATAAACTGAAAAATAAGTTATACTACAACTTAAACAGTTCTTTCATTTACGAAAATAATAAATTTCATGTCATATCCACTTTAAGTAACTTATAGATAATGTTGGTCAAGCTTATAGAGGAATACGTGTGATAACTGTGATTCATGTCAAAGATAAAAACATTTTTATGAATAATGTGCATTAATAAAATGCATCGATTTTTGGACAAAATGGAATTTGTTGTTAACATTGTAAAATCAAGAAACTGGTGTACGTGATACAGATTTGTGCATTTCACATGTACATTTCACTGAGTTGTTGTTGTGATGTGACAAAAAGAGTTCAGTTGCGAAAATATGAATATTTACAAACTTACTGTGATATTATTCTTTCGTAGTTAGTAATTGCGTAAGAATGCGCTTATATTTTATGCCCAGTGTTATTCCGGTAGAGAAAACCACAAAAACAAAACTTTTTTTCCCCTTTTATAACAATCTGTTCCAAAATGGCTTTTTATCACTCTTAGTCACTCGTGCATTCCGTGGTCACTCGTGGTCGTTCGTGATGACTCGTGCATTTACCTTTAGTCATGATGCCATGCAGGAGAAGTTGCTGAAAATCAAACTATATCGGCTACGGCAGGAATCGAACCTGCTGCCTTACGATTCTAATTCATGGAGCCTTCTAACCAACTGAGCTACAGAAAGATAGTTGTCTGGGCCTATAAACCCCTTATATAGTATAGATTAATAAATCCAAGTTAGTATATTTGAATTGTTTTATAATTGTGAAGGATTAATAATTTTATTCATCGACAAGTTTCTATAGAAATTTTGAAATATTCCTGTGGGTTATTAAGAACAATCATATACACGTTACAGACAAGAAGGCTACGGATCTAAGTATATAATTTATACTGGATGCATTGTGGGCATTGAAAACTGTATGGTTAAAATTATCTCATGCAATTATGAGTAATTTAAAATCAAGCACATCATTATAAAATAGTATTATAATTATAATAATTACTTATTGAATGACTGAAATGTTAAAAATGTTAATTGTACTAATCTTAAATATGCGTTTTGCTTCTGAGCCAAGCTAAAGCCACATCCAAATATTAAGTTTGACGTATATAAAGCTTATACGGCTATATACGGCTCTACTGTATGTGAACCAGGCTAGAATCATTGACAAAAATTCCTCTACCGTTTATTCTAATTATGAGATAGAAATATTACCATACAATGTTGTTAGACTAAAATTCAGCTTTTGTCGATCTGAAGTGGTTTTATGTTCTATTATTCTGTTCATAACTCAACACGTAGGCTACATACAGCAACATTGACAAGTAAATGCTAATTATATATAGGGTTATCGTCTACCAGCACTTGTCGTTTTTGCTAGTTACTTGGAATACATGCTCTATCGTATTTGTCTTTGTTGTGTGAAATGCAATTGAGTATCGTATCTTTTTTTATCTGTCTTTTTCTTATTTATTATATATAAATTTAAAAAACAACTGTATTTGTAATAATATCAATGTGCTCCCACTTAATAAGCTTTGGCTTTGAGGAAACATATTGATAATACTAGAAATAGGCTACATGCATGCAACGAACCCTTGGCCTATATTTTCCAAACATTGTTTCAACATGAAGTATTCGTAATTATGCCAACACTGAACGCCGGCTCGCATTGTCACGTCATGTTAGTCATGGTAACACGTACGTTAATTGTTTTTTAAACTTTTTGTACAAACCATGCACTGAGCTATAATAAATCTCGAGGAAGTGCTCGGCATGAAACAGTGTCGCCAAAAACATGGCGGCTTTTCACTTTTGCTGACATCAGAATGACGCCACTGGTCCTAAATCCTCGTGCTAATTACCACTGACCAACCGCGATCTTCAGCTTCAGACGACGACTTCACACCCTGGTTTTTGCACGAAAACGCTGAAAGTTTATATAAAAAAAAACATTAAGAAAAAATGCCGAGTTTTTGCATGGCTTCATGATGCCACAATTCTTTAATATTAAGAAGAAGCACTTTAATTTTTTTACCGGTAATATTTAAACTCTTTTTCCGTGCTTCATGTGTACTAAATAAATACCGTTTTTTAAAAGAAAAAATTGGATACGAAATTTACAAATATTAGGACGCTGTACTTCGTGTTTTATTTTGCCATTTTGCAGGGTATAGTTTTTGTTTTCCTCTGGAGTCTTTACCCAACATCAATTTTCATATACAGAATTGTAACAGAAATGCCTTAAAATGATGGACAAGTGTCAAGTCACAAACGATGTCAATAGTCCCAACTTGTCCTAGCCCTAGGGTTTTAATATAGTCATATGAGGCCCAATATATGGTTGTAATGGGCACAAAAAAGATCAAAACAACCTGTCTCTGTAGGAGTAAGTGTTGAATGAAAGCTTGCGCAAGGCTCACTACAATTTTGAGTTGTGATTTTAATAGACAATTTTAATCTTTTTTTCATAGCTACCATAGGAGGCCCAATAGATAGTTGTATACAACTATTAAAAGTTTATAGTTAATATATACAGTAAAAAGGCCAGCAAATAGACATGAATTTTTCTTGACGAATGTGAATTTATGGATGGTACATAGAAATAGATAGAAAGTGCGAAGGGATGCCTATTTCACAACACTCTAATTTCTGTGTCTGAAATGACATATTTTAATATTTGAAAGGAAAAAAGTAATATAATGTGTAATAGCATGTAGACCAAATTATATAGATAATATAATATGTGACTGATTGGATGTATTCTATTACACCTTTCCAGATACTAAGAAAAATCCTGAGATGTGTAGAAAACTTGAAGAAGAATACCCTGCCTGGTTAAATTTTATGCCACAAAGGGGAATCACCTAGCTTGTTTGAAGCAATTAGCATAATATTCCATTTAACTCATTGAGTGGCAGCACACTCCATTTGATGAGTAAAATCGTCTGGCGTTAGACAGCGTAAAATACTCTGGCGTTAGACTGCGTAAAATACTAAAGCATAGGGCACATCAGGGTGCATTGGCACTTAAAGGGTCAACTCATTGAGCAGCAGCATCCCCCCCCCCTTCATAAATAAAATTGTCTGCCATTACACAGAACTAGCCTCCTCCACAGGCACCCTTGGGCAAAAATTGGCAAAGTATTATGAATAACAGCAAATTTAAAGTTTTAGGGATTGTTAGCGCACATTTTTGACTATTTTTTATATTTAGATTTTTGCCAAAGAGCAGCCCAAAGGAGGCTAAGACAGAATAATAAAGTAGGTTGCATTGCCACTTATCAAAGGCTTAACAGGATGCAAAGGCATTAAAGACAATTATACTGGTCAGTCCACAGAGTGCCAGAGCTCTCCCCTTGCACTGACAAGTAGCCTATATTCCATCATTATTTGTCTGGCAAGATCATAAAACTGCAAAACATGCAAAATGTTTATAAAGCTATAAACTATAAACTGCCTTTAATCCATAAATTTGAGTTTGAAATAAAATGATTTCAAACTATCGCATGATAATAACCTTGCTTCCCTAAAGATTTTTAATAATTTAGTATAATTACCCGCATACATCAGATTTTTAAAGAAGTTAAAGTGCCTATGTCATAGTTTGGGAATCAGCCTATTTAGATAGTTTAGATGATTTTAAGAACTTTTGCAATATATTTTATAATTCGAAAATTTGATCTTCATGGACTTTCGGGGGCTCAAAGTTGGCGATTTTGCCTATTTTGAGCGTTTGGCCGCCAGCATAAAAGTACTGGGGCGAGAATGCCGGCGTGACGTCAAACCGGGAAGTCATCAAAACAAAATACATATGATTTACTGTAGTTTCTTGACAAAATCGAGTATAAATTAGATGTTTCTGGAAATTTCTTCGATATTTCGATTGAAATTTAAATGGAACTATATCCTTAACCTTCGGTTATCCAACTGACAGGCAGATTGGGCGAGATACTAACTTTATGGCTGAGAGTGCAGGTCAAACACATATACGCTGTTGCTATATATTCTATCTCGGTTTCTTGATTTATATACAGAAATATCGAGACAAAACGGCAAAGAACTGTAGGCTGTTGTTAAACCTGATCCAGTAGAATATATTCACTTTGCCCTCGGTTTTGTCAATGCCAGCCAGAATGGCGGAAATTATTGTGAACAAAACGCCTCGTCCACTGATCAATACAGAGTCAGAGGCGTTGGTTTGCTTGAATTTGGACGTCATGATGTGTCGTATAAAGTTGGTGAGAAGGTGATTAAATACGGTTTTTATGTGATTTAAAACTAAAAGAGAAACTCCAAAGGCAAACTGAACTTGTTCTATTGTTACTGATAGGTATGCAAGAGAAAATTGATCTTTGAATAAAGTCGCGATTCTAGTTTTGCCTGCAAAATGCATAAACAAAGAAAGAATAAAATGTATTTATGGTCCTGGGTCACATTGATTTAATTTTAGATTTTTATTCTTCAATCATACTGTAAAAATCACTTGCTTAAATAGAACAAACTTGTCTTGTCATTTTGAAAATCTTGTTCAGTTCTTTATAACAGATGAAACCATTTCATTGCCAAATGTAAACAAAGCAATGCCAAGGCAATGGGTCAATCCAGATAATTTCCAGGGATTATACTTACATTCATATGTCGTAATTTGCCAAAATGATCCATGACTTATGAATAAATAATGTCACACCCCATAACCATATATAATATCATTTTATAATTTATAAATATAATAAAATTCCTTGTTTTATTTGCATATTTTTGCAAACTGGCAAGTTCGGCACCTCAAATAAATTGAATAATACAAAGAACAAGTGTTTCAAAATGTTTTCACATTTAATGAAAAATTTACTATAACTTTATAAAGAATAGATGTTTATGATTTAGAAATCAAATCCGTTAGGTCTTTAGGACAAATAATATGGTAAAGACATGTCATAGCCCAGAAATGGGCGAATCATGAAATACAATAGGCCCCTTCGCTTGCTTTGTTTACATTAGGCATTTTGCTAGCAGACAAGGTCAAATGTCGAAAAAATACAATACTCAATAGAATATTATAATTTTCAAAATGATTATAGTTTACTATAATTAAGAAAGTGATTTTTATTATTCATGAATCAGAAATATAAAGATGTGTCATATTTTAAAAAATGTAGCCTAGTTGTATTATTTCATGAACACAATTGACCATTTGCGCAATAGACAAAATTTTGATCTAAACAAGTCTAGACAAAAATTTCATCACAGCTTGAAAGAGCATCACAAAATTAATAATATTCCAAAGTTTCGTTGCGAAATGTTGTAAAATGCGGATAATATAGCCTTGTGAAATTTGCAATTTTGAGTCATTTTAGATTACAAACGGGAAATTGACAGCTCAAAGCGTTCGGGCGACAAATTTCCCG